AGGAGGGAGCCGAGGAGGAGAGGGAGAGAGAGGGGACTGGCGATGGGAGGGAGGAGAGAAACCTCCAACTCCCGGTACCTCAGGCGGCTATGGCCGCCGGTAACCCAGTCGCTGCTGCTGCTGCTCCGCTCGCTGCCGCTGCTGTGATGCCGCTGCTGCGCTGCTCCTCGTGTCTTGCGCTAAACTTAGCGCTAGCGCTCTGGCGCTAGACCTTAACGCACCGCGTAGACTGCAGGTGGTTCGATCCCCTGAGTGAGGCCGGACCGGTTCTTTATACCGGTGGGCAGAGGCCGGCCTCACTGCTGCGAAGCCTGGCTGTGCCCTGAACCGTCCAGATGGACGGTTCAGCCCCAACCGGCGGGCGGCAGCCTCAAGAGCGCCGCCAGGCCCAAACGGTAATGTCGTTTGGGCCTGCCCGTCGGGTCTGGTCCAAGGTGAGGCCTWTATGGCCTGTAGTACCCCAAGGTCGGGCCTTTAGGCCCTGGTGTGTCCCTCAAGCCCTAAGTCGGGTCCGGTAGGACCCGTGTGCGTCGGAGATGTAACAGGCAGCAAAAGCCTACATGCACACATATAGGCTGCGATTCAACAAGGGGTACAGGAGGTGCTCAACGCTCTAGAAGGGCCAGAATTCAACTGTGGATTCAATTCGGCATTCAGTAATAGCACTTCTAGTATCCACGGAGACTTTTGTTGTTTTCTAAGAGAGCGAAAAAAAAAAAAAAAGATTCTTGCTGCTCCATCCACAGTGTGTACATTTTGCCCCAATATCATTCTAACAGTACGCATTGACTTACTGCAAGTGTTCAAGTATGCAGCCGGTAGGCTGTACTGTGTATCTGTGGCCGTAGGCTGTACCGCGACCTGGTGAGCGGACGGATGCCCATGACGACGGTCAAGGGTAACCCAGTTGTATTCAGTGCAAATCACTGTAACTGTGGCAGGGGAGCGTCCCACCCCCTCCGCTTCTCCCTCCCCTCCTCTCCACCTCTCAACTGTTTTGTGGAGTGTTCTGTCCCCCCACTCAATGCTGAGCTGTTGAATTGCTGTGTTCAGCTCTTTGTTTACTGGGTTCGATGACCACACAGCAACATGTGCATTCATGCTAGAACGTTACAGCAACGGGAGAGTCCCGCATCCCTCCCATCGACAGCACATAGATGAAGAGATTAAGACAGAAGAAACAGACATCTTGCAATTGGAAAGGGAAATTGCCATTGAGATGGAAAAGAAGAAAACAACTTGAACACAAAGACGATAGAATGGATGTGTTGTTTGTCCGCTGGGAGTTCACTCAATTGAGTCAAAGTCAAACTCAAAGTGAAAAGTCAAAGTCTGAACAGTACAGAACAGCTGATGGTGAAGGCATTGACTGTCATATCGAAGAGGCTTGAAGTCTATGAAACTCACCTTGACATACTTGCTGGCCAGGTTCAGGGGAATGACAAAGGGAGTTCCAAAATGACTGAAAGTGCCAGGCAAATCTGAAATTGCCATTAGCGCCTGCACCTCTCCGAGCAGCACGGTCAAATCTGAAATTGCCATTAAGTGGGTGGCGGTGCCGGCCAAAAAAGTAGACTCGACGGCTCATTTTGTTGGGCAGCACAAGGCATTTCAAGGCTCGGCAAGGAAGGGGCATAAGTACTGGTGGTTTAACATTTTTGTAGAGCTCTCTACAGAATTGAAGAACGGAATTGAGAGACTGAGACAGAAGACTGCCTGATGAGGCAAGTCTATCCTAATCAGGAAAGTCTATAAGGAAGAACCCTCCATTGACGAGGCAAGTCTATCCTAATCAGGCAAGTCTATCGGAAGTTTGCCTGATGAATCTTCAGAGGTTAATCCTACAGAGCTTCCCTACTCTAAAAATATAATAAATAAATAAATAAAACAATCTGAAGCGAAAGAAGTTAGGGCTGGTACCTTAAATGATGATATCTCAAGGCTGTCCCCCCTTTCAACAACCAAAAAAAGAAGAAGAACAAGAAGAAGAAAGACAGAAAGAAAGAAAGAAAGAAAGAAGAAGAAGAAGACTAAGAAGTAAACCAAAGAGACAAGATAGCCAATCTGAAACCATCCTCTGATGGTCTATGATGGTCCAAATGCTGCGGACCAGTGATGGTGCTTTGGAGAGGGGTGTTGTCACTACCAATGTCAATGAGAGGGACTCGTACGGCATTAGAAAAGTAGAGAAGAAGAAACTCAGAACCCCACAATTCATGCTTGATGTAATCAAGCTACCTGAATAACTAATCATAACCAGAAAAGAATGGACGAAAGAAGCCAGAAAGTATTTCCCTATACTCTTAAAGGCAACCGCGGGTCTCGCGTGATGCGTTCCGCTGAGACCTTTTCCCGCACGGGCCCGGCGCGGTTTTTTGTTAACGGCCGTTTTTTTTTTTTGGGTTGGTGTTGGCGCGGCTTCGTGGGCCCGGCGCGGTTTTCTGTTTACGGCCATTTTTTTGGGGGGGGGCGGTTGGTGTTGGCGCGACTTTATGAACCGGACTTTTTTCGCTACGTTTTTTTTTTGCGCCACGCCGTCGAAGGTGTCGGCCATGTTCAACCAGGTAGTGCATATTTCCATGTTCTAGCGGAAGATTCATTTGATTTTGCTCATCCTATCGCTGGAAGTAGCATGACGTGGTCGGCCATATTCAACCAGGTAGTGTATATTTCCATGTTCTATCCGAAGATTCATTGGATGTTGCTCATCCTATCGATGGAAGTAGCATGACCCGAGCCGCAAGGTTGGAGAATTATGGGCTCTCTCTCTCTCTCTCTCTCTCTCTCTCTCTCTCTCTCTCTCTCTCTCTCTCTCTCTCTCTCTCTCTCTCTCTCTCTCTCTCTCTCTC